GCCCGCTTGGCCGCCGCCAGGAGCTTGGCGCGGTTCTCCGGTCCTGCAGTCCGACGAGGCGAGCCGCGCCCGCCGCCCGACCCGGCCGATCCTCGACCGGCCCTCCGGTCCTGGAGTCCGACCAGACGAGACGCGTCCGCCGCCAGACCCGGCCGATCCCCGGCCGGCTCTCCGGCCCCAGGGCCGGCGGGCCGGTGTCGGGTCGCCACGCGCCGGTCCTGACACCGGGACTCCACGACCTCAACACCCGAGGCGCGGACTGCCAGCCGGTCACGAGGGGGCCGGAGTGAGTGACCGGCAAGGTCGTACCGTCCCGCCAGACGGGACGCAGGGGCGCGACCGTCATCAGCGATCCCAGACAGCGTCGAGTGTGGCCGTTGTTTGGCTCTCTGCAATCCGCCCCTTCAGGCCTCGCCAGACAGCGGCCCGAAAAATGTTGACCTCACCAGCCTGCCCGGTCTCCGCTGACAACAGTGGTCAACTGTCTGGCGGAATTCTGCCGACCAAACCAGAGAGCTGTTGGGCTGAACTTAGGCGACCTCACCAAACAGCGACTTGTCTCGAACACGCTCACCTGGTTGCCTGACAACCTCGCGAGTAATCCCCCCCCCCCCCGCAGATCCAAGTACGAAACAGCATCGGGAAGCTCAGACGTTCAGCACCACTTCCAAACACCATGTGCAAGCGTGTCAGGACATTGCACAGGGGCCATTCTATTGCACATTTTCCAACTATCTTTCGATATGCACTGACGAGGCAGCCATTTTGCAACATGTGGCTGACACGCAAATCTTCGGCAGGGGCAAACAGAAGCACATTGATCATTTGGTTAAGTCCGTGTACAGAACACCAGAACAAGTTTTATACTGGTTTTACTTGAATTCCATGGAACAACACGTCAAAAATATAGCTGATTGCGTCTTGAGCTACAAAGACGTGGATCAATGTTCACCCCTGCTAACCAAACTTTACCACTTTCGTGTGCTCTGGAAAGGGAACAGTTAAAAATATCGACCTCATCATCTACCGCGGCCCCTTTGCTGATGATCACGTTGAGCATCTGCTAGAAACCACAGCGCTATCCAATGCGCAACCGCGCCCCAAGCATGCTCTGTCATCCGTCATCAGGCGGATGACAGGCGGTGAGCACCGTAGCTGTCAGCGCGATACGTTCTTGCATTTCGATATGCGGCACCTGTGAACAAACAACTGCACCGCATGCAAAACTGCTCCATTCCCGTATCAGGGTGATCAGTCGCCGTAGGAGGTCCGATCTCATCTCGGACGCGTTTAATGATACCGCACGGCCTCGAGCCGGTCAAATGGCGTCAAACCATCAACTGTGTTTCATGAAGGCAGCGCTGAGCGCTGTACAACCTCCTGGCATAGCTGAAACGTTTGTTAGTTTAGTCAAAAACAGTTGTGGTACCAGGAAAACCAGTCAGCCCCGTTGCTCGCAAGCAAACTCAAACTCAGGCAGCAGGCGACTTGCGCACACATCGAGCCAGTTCAATGACCTGTCGCGAAGCTGACACAGCTAGGTATGCCGCAGTTCAAACGGCGCCTCAAACAAGGGACACTGTGAAAACTGGGTTTTATGTAACTGTTTCGGCCACTGGTAAGCATGCATCTCGTCCTTTGCACGGAAGTCGCTATTTTGGTGATGTTTTGCATTCATGTGCATTTGCTTTGCCTCTGTCACTTTGGTGTGAGTCGCTACGATTATTTTCTGTATGTGCTCCGCTTTTTCCACGATTAACATGCCTGTTTGTATTAATTTTGCCGTAGGGGCGTAAGCACCATACATGGATATGGATGCACCTGATCCGCAAAAACAAATGTCAATACCTGCTGGGCAGCCGTTTGTCTGCGCCACACCGGCATCACAAAACAGCCGCTGGTCTTAAGTTTGGCGCCCTCAGCAGGCAGCAGTGCGGAGCATGATTATTCCAACAGAGCTCCAGCCTGGGCACTGTTAAACCCACCAGGTGTCCATCCCATGTTCAAACGTCACAGCCCGTGTTCTCAGCGCGAAGGGGACGCTGCTGCTACTTATCGAGGCGAGGCCCGTCCCGAAGGCGACCATTCATCAGCCGCTGCCGGCGGAGGTGCAGCTACCATCTGGGACCGACCAACCCATCAGAGGTCCGTGGCAGTCACCACACTGTCGCCGCAAACGTGCTCCATCACCGCCGACACCGAGCCATCCCTCAGCGCAAGCAGCGCGCTTCCGCTGCGGTCCCTGCAATCGGCACTTACGAGCTGAAACCTGGCCGCTTGCTGTCACTGCAGGGACGGCAACCGGCTGGCACCGCCGCGCCGTCGCCGCCGTCGCTGCGCCGTCCCTGTGCTGCACACGCCGGCCTGGGCTGGCTTCGTCGGCCGACACGGCCCCGTTTGATCCCCGTGGCGAGCGGAGGCCGGGCGCACGTGACACGGCCCAGCAGCGGCAGGTGCCCGGCTCACGCGTGCCGCAGGCACCAGAGGTGTACCCGGCTGGACGGCTGCGTGGGCACTGGCGCGCCGGGAGTTCGTAATGCCGAGCTTGACCGGAATGGAAACGCCAGTCGTGCCATTGCGAAAATCACCGCAGTAGTTTTTGGAGCCCGTCGCAAAAAGCTGGGCTTCCAGAAGACCATCGGAACATTATTAACCGGGAGTGAAGTCCTGTGGAGTTTGTGGCGTGAGAGCACCGAATGATAAACATAATTGGTCATCGCTCAGGCCGGCTCTGGGTGTCCCATAACAGCCCCATTCTGGCTTTTTTTCTGCGCGACAGCGGAGCAGCAACAAGAAGACAAATGTCCGCCACTAGCTTTAGAATTAACATGTCAGCTCCATCACGCCTTCGCGTCATGTAACAAACGACGTCATTTGCAGAGACAAATGAGCTCGCGGCGGTTCTGCAGCGGGCACAGACATCGTGCCCACGCAAAGGCCACCCCAACACTACCAACAGAGTTCCAGTCCTAGGAGCCTGCCGCAGCGGGGTCAGGTCAGGTAACCAACACCACGACTGGCTATATCACCCCAACCTTTCTGCCGCAGCGGGGTCAGGTCCGGTGAGCAACACCGCGACCGACAATCCCGTTCTGCCGTAGCGATGTCAGGTCAAGTGACCAACGCCGCGACCGACGATATCCGCCACCTCTTCCGCTCAGCCATAAATTTGGAATTATGTTTGCCACCTGCGGATTTTAGTTGTTGATCTTTCAAGGTAAGGATCAATTCTATCGCATTTTAAGGGAACCGTTGTCTAGCAAAGCCCGCCAGCGTTTTTACAGAGAACGCGTTGGCTTGGCGCATCATCACCTCCATATCGCCAGTGTGCAGTGCGCTGGGGTCAAGGTCAACGTTGACTTCGGTCCACGCAGCCCCTCAAGGTGCTGCGATGGAGCCGTTGCCCCCGATGGCTACCTACTGCTTTGTCTCATGAGGACGATGCTTGATCCCCAATGACCGCTAAGGACAGTCAGTCACGTAAATACCCGTCAAATGCAATCAACAGGGAGGCTGACAGTGGCGCTCTCGCGTTTCGGAAAAGAGGGGAGTCAGTGTTCACCGCCGCCAGGCGGCAAGGCATATAATGCACATGAACTATGTCAGGGAGCCGTTAACGCACTATGTTACGCATTGCGCGAGGAGGGGGGGGGGGGGGATCATGGAGTTTAATAGTAGCGTTACTAGGGGTGCGGTTTGGACAGCGCAACTTTACGTTCGTTGTGTGTGTGGGCACATATCACACCACAACTTAAAGCGCGATTTCAAGAGCGAAAGCATGGGGGATGGTCTGTAAGTATTGGCTGAAACTAGACGTTAAAAGTGTGGAAGCCCATCAAACAGGCAGCAGCGTTATGGCCGTGCTGAAAGTAGGATCGTCTCATTTCTTTCGGCACCGTGACCTTTGAAAAGTCATAGACCGGCGATATAGTAGTTGCTCTGCCGCTATTGCAGCAGAAATAACACTGCTATTTTGGTACATAATTTTCGTCTTGGCCGAGGCGATACGACTGGAATACTTGTTTCGGAGGCAATGGTCCCATAAAACCGCGCCCACCATACGTCACGATCAAGGACGTAGGCAAGGGCATTCGCCGCGGGCGTGCATTTGTGTGAAAAAACCTATCTAAAAATCAAGCCACACATCTTAAACGATGTTTGCATACGGCACGCATGGAACTACACGTGTATGCGGGACACTAACCCGGATCGTTTCAATGGACATTCCGAGCTGGACCCCAACGCGACATCCTGCATACGCCCCTGGTTACCACTTACCTTCAGCCACGGATGCTACAATAGACGGGCGGGATAGGTGCTGGTGCCAGGCCCCGCTGGCCGGGGCCCGTTCTCTTCGGGCCAGTGACGGGCTTATCCTTCAACGACCCAGCCGAGCACTTCTTCACCTCAAATTGTTATGCTCCTCCGCGCGTGTATTGAGACAGGGGTGTATTCAAGGGAGCACCGGGGGTACGTGTCCCTCATCATATTATCACACACAGTCGATACGCATGCGATAAAAACTAAAAACTCGACGTAAAAACAGATAAGACGAGAGCATACTGTCCTATAAAACGCCTTGCAAAGACACCGCGTCAGCACCGTGCTGCAAGCGTTTTTGTGTAAAGTTTCGATTTGTCCATGCGTTGCAGAATCGTGCACACGCCGCCGGGTTGGCCGGTCACGCTCAACATGCGGATGGCGCGTCTGGCTCAACGACGGCAGATGTTGCTCCCGGCACGGCTCCGTGCATTTGAACAAACCATTGTTAGTGCTATCATACTGCACGACAGAAAACGAAGCCCAAGCCACATTTGTTCCACCTCCGCCCGGGCTCCGGCGATTGAGGTCACCGCCCAGTCCTCCGGCCACAGCCGTGAAGCTGACTGACACAGCAGTAAAACTCCTGGTGGTGAGATGAGCATGCCCAAATATGCTTCAAGTGAGATGCATCGCTCTCCTAAAGCGAAGGAGTGTAGAGACGATTCGCTCACACGTACCTGTCCAGCGCAAAGGTATCCAAGCTATGCTGCACCACAGCAGCGCGGGGAACTGTCGTGCTCTCCCAATATCAGTCACGCCAGTGCCAATGCTGGGTCCCAACAGTCACCCGACAGCACAGGTCACGACGCGAACGTCTCCGCGCCACACTCCCCCTCACTCGCCGCGCGGCACTGCCCGCTGCCCGGTGAAGCGACGGAGTACGGCACGCTGGCGAATCACTCACCCCGCTCGCCAGCCAATCACGGCCGCCGAGCCAGACCGCCGCGGGGCATACCCGGCCGGCCGGCCGGCGCCACCGTCTTGGATGGCAGCTCTCAGGATCGCGCTTGGGTGGGCACGCGCTCAGCGCTACGAGGATAAACTTCAGCTGAGTGCGGGGACTGGGGAGGGGGGCGGGGGAGGCAGCTGAGCATCGGTGAACCGTAAATAACCGATGATTGGATGCCAGGAGTGTCAATTTTTAATGATAAGCATAGACGCGCGAGAAGGGTTTGGCCGCGGGGGGGGGGGGGGGGGGGGCGGCGCCCTCAACATTTGACGTGGTTGATGTTTTTTCTCGTGCCTAAGCGGGGAGAAGGAGGCTGACTTCCCAGTACGGATTTTCGAGCACTACCTTGTTAACCTATCAGCACGACATTCTTCGCGCAAATTTAAAGTTTTTATTCACCAAGGTCAGTGGCTAGGTCAGACCAAAGCAACCTATAACAACTTTTGCGATACATAACATTAACGCTGTTGACGGTGATCAATGATCTCTGTTGTCAGCAACGGAGAGATAGACAAATGAATGCGACGCGTGTAAACACCTGCATATCGTGTGTGTGTGTGAAGCTGATGACGTCCAATTTCATCTACCAACGTGCCTGCTCTCAATTTGTTACAAACACGTTACCAAACACCGCAAAGACTTTGTACAATATAAACAACAGCTTTGCGATATTGAGTACCTGCAGACGTGCAGTCCGGTCCACATGTATGACCACAGAAAAACATTGCACTGGTCACTTAGACCCGGTCAGCACTTTTTCAGTTGGATGACATGGGAATTTGACCTAGGATGACCTCAGCTAACATTTAGGTCGGCCCAAAACGATACCTTTTGTGTTTGGGATATTTTATCTCACAGCTGGACCTGATAAAATAAACTTAGCCCGAAGCTCATTGTGAAAAAAACAAGAAAGAGTCGTTCTTATGGGCTACTGGTAAGCCAATTTTGAAAGATGATCTGATCTGACCTGACCCTTGTGGAGAACAGAAATTGTCGGAATGGACTTCCTAGTCTTAATTCTTAGTGTCGTGCCCTTAATATCTGTCTTGATGTGATAACATACATATATTTAAATCATCTATCGGGGCGACCGTTCTGTACTTTTAGTGAGCTCTAATAACCTCACGTTTGACCTAAGACAAAAACATTGCGTGCATTCATCATAATTTGAGGAGATCTTCACGACGGCATCTTCGTTTTTTTCGTACAATATCTGGAAGTTGAAATCCGGGAAAGTCAACTCCCCCCGGATTTCCTCCCCTCCCCCCCGCCCGGGCGCGGTCGTCTCAGACCCCCGGCCGGGCACAGTTTAAGGCTTCAATGAACGAAATCGAACCCTAGAAACTTGAAATAAGCCCGGATTTGCCTTCACGAAAGATACTGCAACGTTCTGCTGCTTCTGTTTTTCTCCATTTTCCTTCATGTACATGTACCTAAATGTAGTCTTTTTTAATGAGACGGAGACAAACTGCGGTTTGGTAGAAAATGGTTGTTTCGCAAATCCTCATCAAAATGACATCTTCTCAGCGATCAGTGCTCTGAGTGATTTTTTCATTTTTATGCATCGCCATGCACAGCACTCGCACCACGTGGGAGAGACGAGTATATGGATAGGCAGCTGCCCGTGACGCTGATCCAGCGGCCGACATAGGATTCCATCAAACGAGAGGCTTCTTTACAGACGTTCGTCCGGTTGGCAACAAGTTCGGATTCATATTCACATCGAGACACACGGTTTTGGCCAGCTGTTGTTCCCGTGCTGGATCTTGCCGGTATCAGTTATTTTGCTCATCGGGTTGTGGAAGTTAGCATCTATTTTCACGCAAGTCTTCTTCGAAAATCGGCTGAGTCCTTAAATGATGACGCGAGACCAGGTGCGATCCTTTCTATCAATGATAAGAGAAGGCCAAAGGGGAAATTATGTGCTAGCTTTAGTTGCTAAGTGCGTTACATTACACCTCGGTGCAGATTTCCACTTCAATCAAAAGTTCTCTCTCCGGCGGATTTTCAGACATTTTAGTTTAGTTCACTTTTGTACGGGAAACCACCCTCCTGAACGCAACCCTTGACAGCTAGACTTTGAACGAAGGCAGATGAAGCACGCTCATTGTGTTCAGGGGCTGGTAACTCCAGACATTTTAAGGCTGTTTTTTGGAAAGATATAGCAAAACGAAATTAAAGTTGGCTGCTGGATGCTGTCAAATGTAGGCGATACAATTGATCAGAATGACTGGCTATCATTATGCAGGGCGAAACAGACAGAAACAAATCGGGTCGCTGAGCTTGCCTTCAGTAGACAGTTAAAAGCGAAAGCATTAGCATTTACGCGAATGATGCGAGTTGTAATTTGTGACTACCCAAGTAAACACCCTGTGTAAACAGATGGAAGGACAGCACAAAGGGGAATGGTTGGAGCGTTGTGTCCGTCTGTGCCGAACCAGTCGATCTGTGGGGTCGCCAGAAACGTGACGACGGAGATCAGTCGTGTGTTAATTACTAGCAGAGTCAGTTGCTAGCAATGTGAGTTGTTAGAAGTTAGTTGGTCGTCCATATCTGCTCTGTACGTTTGCTGGGGAGCACGGCCACACCCGTCTCTGGAGCCAGCCGCACGCTCTCCGTAAGTCGTAAGTCCGCACGCAGACGTAAGTCCAATCTCACCGCGCGGGACCCCTGATGCAACGTTCGACGCCGATGGCGCCTCGAATTTCAGGGCTGAGGGCACTGCTTTTCACACCGGCAGCGTTCGCATCAGTGCAGCCGATATGAGCAGTGGATTCCAAAAGAGGCGAGGCAAGCCTGGCACCAGGTTCGATTGGAAGAGTCGCACATCCCGCTCCCGAACGAGCGATATCCTGGTTACGCCATCGATCATTGGTAGTACATCGCAGCATGTAGTACACAGTATTATGTACATTCCACATCAACTTTGGGTTTACGTCATGACATAATTGTACCCGCATGTCTCCCTTCCCCACACTTGCTACCAGGGCCCCCGATCCGTCTTTTGCATCCCATTTTCCTGGACGCAGTCATGGCTACGCTGCTGCCTGAGATACCAATAGTGAGGCAGGGACGCCAAATTTACAGGGTAGGTGGGTACTTATGTGATCTCATTACTCTATAATTTTGAGATCTCAATGTCGAGACCATTGTGTCAACTAAGGTCAAGCAATGCCGAACTCGAAATCTATGTCGGAAGTCCCCTCACACTTTCTCACGACCAGCAGCCAGTATTAACTTAGAAGCCACTTATATGACGACATCCTCTTAGAGTTATTTCAGGTGGTGACCCTATCTGACCTTTTGTTACCTACTTTATTTACATTTCCCACATCAATAATGCATCTTATGATTTACTATATATATGCACATATATATGTATACATATATATATATATATATATATATATGCACACATATATGCATACATATATGTACATGTATAGAATAGAAAATGGTTTCATACTGAGTGGAAAAAATAGATTAAGAAATAGGTCCTGACTTAGTGGGAAAATATATTAGTGTGACTTAAAACTTTTAATTTAAGATCAGTGATATGAAGTACTCTAGGCCGAAAGTTATTACAAAGCAAGTGGTTGAAGACAGTCATTTTATGGCAGTGCCCACCCTATCCTCATATAAAGTCAACCGAAGACATCTTTTAGCGGAGTGTTCCACATTGTTATGGGGCTTTGAGCCGAAATAGCCATTTGTCGCTCATTCGATGCAGTTGCACCCTGCCCTGCGAGATCTGCCCTTTTTCAGACCTAAACCGCTCTAGTTTTTCAGCCTCATGCCCGCGAAGTTGTGCGAACTCATTCGGGGAGACTATTTCAAGGTCACCCAGGCATCCCCGGCACCATAAAAACGTCATTCAGATCCTGTTATTCCATTAGCCACGCGGACGTCGAGGCCGATATAAATGTATTTGTCGAGTCGTTCATATCTGACGGTTGTGAGCATGATTTCCAAACGTAACGGCTGTCAGTTGGCTCAGAATCAATGGTGTGCAAAGTACGATGACGTAATCAACAAGGACGTTTTTAGAAGCGTATTTACTGAACAAAAATATTTGTTGCCTAGAGCAGTCTTTTCCGCTTAAAAATATACAAGAAGTACCAGTGCCAGTAGTGGGCTTATTCCGTCATATCGGCTGCTTGCTTTAACACGCGCCCGGGTGGCCGGCTAGATACCCTTCGCTCGGGTGGGAGGGGGGTCAATTTGCCCCCCCCTAGATCTCAGGAATTAAGGGAGCTAGAGACCCCAAATTCACAGGGTGTCTTGACCTGTACGTGAGCTCACTTAGGTCAAAGTTTGAGCTTCCTAGGTTATGACTTTCAGGTCAAATATGGTCAAACAAAGAAAAATTCCAGATTTGTCTCCAAAGTGCCCCCAGAACCTAGACAACTGTTTATAAGCAAAAGATCACAAGCCCATTTGAGGTCAGTGACCTTGTTTGACTTTTTGAAAGTCATGGTGACCAAAATAATACAACACTGCTCCCAGTTTTGCATTCGAATAAGCGACAAAGATTACGCTAGGCAGTATGTTCCTAAAACAAAATGTTTACCCGGGTCATCCGGGTCAATGACCTGTTGTGACCTCTAAAAAGTCAATGTAAGTTGTATAATGCGGTTCCTGCTTTTAATAAATTCGAAATGAGCACCACAAACTACCCCATACAGCAATCCCTAAAGTAATAAATCAGGTTGGTTTTGACCTTGACGTTACCTTTATACCTGACCTTAGGTCAGCGTAATTTGCTAATTCAATATTTGTGGTGCCTCAGAAAGCATCTCTGAGATGCATGGTTTCGTCAAACACTCCGTTATTTTATCAGATTGGACGATTCCCTAGAAATTGCCTTCGCTGAAACCATGGCCTGAC